CCCGGGAGTGCAGTGGAGGATGGCCCAAGTGCTTGGGCCCTGAACCCACATGGAAGACCAGGAGGAAGCACCAGGCTCCTGGCTTCGGATCGTTGCAGCGCGCCGGCCGTAGCGACCATTTGGGGGGTGAACCAATGGAAAAAGGAAGACCTTTCTCTCTCTCTCTCTCTCACTCTCACTCTCACTGTCTAACTCTGCCTGTCAAAAATAAAAAATAAAGATTTATTTATTTGAAAGTCAGAGTTAGAGAGAGAGAGAGAGAGAGAGAGGTCTCTTCCATCACTGGTTTACTCCCTAATTGGTCGCAGCAGCCTGAGCTATGCTGAGCCGAAGTCAGAAGCCAGGAGCTTCTTCCAGGTCTCCCACATGTGTGCAGGAGCCCAAGCACTTGGGGCCATCTTCTACTGCTCTCCCAGGCCATAGCAGAGCTGGATCGGAAGTGGAGTAGCCGAGACTTGAACCAGTGCCCCTATGGGATGCCAGCATTGCAGGCAGCAGCTTTACTTGCTATGCCACCACCACAACGCTGGCCTCTGGAAATATTTTTAAAGATACTTAATTCTTACACATGGAAGTAAAAATCATTTACTCACTAATCTGATATATGTTTTATGTACTGATTGGGGACTTATGTTTGCATTTTCATAACAACTGATGTTGCCTACTTAAGGCAGACAGTTGAAGATATGCAAGCAGAAGTAGACCAGCAGAGAGTGGAAGATGAAGCTTGGTATGAAAAACAAGAACTACTTCGTAAAGCCGAAGAAACAAGACGACAAATACTCTTACAAGAGGAAGAGAAGATGATGCAGCAGAGGCAGAAGTATGCTTTATCCCTCTAACAATCCGGACTTAGTGAGTTAGCTGGGTGATTTTCATTTCCTTTCATTTTATCATTAAGGAACCACACTGTGTATAGAATTACCCAGCGTAATTTCCATTAAACAAATACTTAATAAGTAGAATATATAGCACTTTCTAAAAAAATGAAATGTAGTTGTAAAATTATACTATTAAATATGGTATCAATTTACACTGATTATTCCCAAGTAACATTAGATCTAATGCACCTTGAAGGACATTATTTAGAAACATCCTCTGATAGGCAGAAATATGTTGTCATAGAGTGCTAGGAAGTTGCCATTAGTGGAATATAATTTTTTAAATTATGTTTTAAACATATTTATATGACCTGACAATTGAAATGAAAAGTACTTATTTCACTGTGCATTTAATACCTTGGAAGAGAGGAAGTATTAAATGCTCATGTAAAGTCTGTGTTAATAAGGTGAAAATGTTTAATTAAATTTATAGAATGAGGAATTAGACTAGGCCTAACTGTTGGGAAACTCACTCTGTGAGTGTTCTTATTCTCGGGTGGAACTTTATGAAACAGATTTCTGTTGTGGGTTTAAAAAGAATTACAGCCGGCGCCACGGCTCACTAGGCTAATCCTCCGCCTAGCGGCGCCGGCACACCTGGTTCTAGTCCCGGTTGGGGCACTGGATTCTGTCCCGGTTGCCCCTCTTCCAGGCCAGCTCTCTGCTGTGGCCAGGGAGTGCAGTGGAGGATGGCCCAAGTGCTTGGGCCCTGCACCCCATGGGAGACCAGGAGAAGCACCTGGCTCCTGCCATCGATCAGCGCGGTGCGCCAGCTGCGGCGGCCATTGGAGGGTGAACCAACGGCCAAGGAAGACCTTTCTCTCTGTCTCTCTCTCTCACTGTCCACTCTGCCTGTCAAAAAAATTAAAAAAAAAAAAATTACCCACCTTGGAGTTTATCAAAACTCAGAGTCCAAGGAGTTATTTTGTTTGCTAAGTCTTTCTCACTTCTTTTCCTGTTGCCTCTATCTCGCTCTCTGCCAGCTGTCTTTTATTTATTTATTTTTTTTTTAGATTTATTTGAAGAGCCGGCGCCATGGCTCACTTGGTTAATCCTCCGCCTGCGGCGCCAGCATCCTCTATGGGCGCCAGGTTCTAGTCCCGGTCACTCCTCTTCCTGTCCAGCTCTCTGCTGTGGCCCAGGAGGGCAGTGGAGGATGGCCCAAGTCCTTGGGCCCTGCACCCCATGGGAGACCAGGAGAAGCACCTGGCTCCTGGCTCCTGCCATCGGATCAGCGCGGTGCACCGGCCGCAGCGGCCATTGGAGGGTGAACCAACGGCAAAGGAAGACCTTTCTCTCTGTCTCTCTCTCTCTCACTGTCCACTCTGCCTGTCAAAAAAAAAAAAAAAAAAAAAAAAAAAAAAGAATTACAGACCTGAGCCATTAGTGTGCTCCTAAAATTCTAAGAGGAAATGTGTGCCATGTTTGATAGCATTAGAGCGTTTTCTTGGCATTCTTCCTTCAAATAAAGGACATCAATTCTATTGAAATGATCTGAGTCCAGTAGAGCTGCTAGAAGTTTGAGTGAAAAGAATGGCCGGTCTTGTCATGTCATCATCGTGAGTGTAGACTTGTGTAATTGGGCATCCTTCACTCACATGTCAAGCAGCGTTGTGCTACAGTGGCACCAGTTAAACTGTGAAAGTGTACCAAAATAGGTAGCAGGAAGCTATTACTGTGAAAACAACGTAGACGCTATTGGTGAATGCTTGTCCTTGATGTATCTTGTACTCAAGACTTGCTGCTGCGAAGAGAGAGCTGAAGATAAAGGAAATGCACTTACAGGATGCTGCGAGAAGGCGTTTGCTGCAGCTTCAGCAAGATCAGCGTGAGATGGAGCTGCGAAGGCTGGATGATGAAATTGAGAGAAAGGTTCGGTGTGCTTGGTTCCGGTTCTCAGGCATCTCCATGCGGTCTCATTCACTGTGGTGAGGGATGGGCCTTTAGCCTGGTAGGTAGGACACCCATGTCCCACGTCACAGTACCCGAGTTTGATACCCAGTTCTGGATCCTGACTGTTGCTTCCTGCTAATGCAGACCCTAGGAGGCAGCAGACAGCGGCTCAAGTACTTGAGTCCTTCCCAACCACTCTGAGGCCTGGAGGGAGGGTCTGGCTCCCAGCTTCAGCCTGTCTCTGTCCCTGTCCCTGTCCCAGCCCCAGCCATCACGGACATCTGGGGAGTGAGCCAGTGGATAGGAACTCGTATTTGTCTCTCTCGCAAATAAGTAAGCCCCTGTATATACTTCATCTCTCTTGCTCTGCTCCTGAGCCAGGTGCACACGGTTTGAATGGCAGTAGCTTGGTAATGTTTGGTGAGCTAAGCCTAGTTCTCGTGTTAGTCTTCCCTTTCAGAGATTTCCTCAGTATTCAAGTGTTCAGCACTGCAAACAGACTTTGAGGATTGTGCTGCTCTCTCTGAGCCACTACCTCTTTCCATCCTATTGGAATTTTTATTAAGAATTACTGAATTTAAGCATTAATTTAGGGAGTTTCAATCCTAGCTTTCATGAAATAATAAAATCTTTAAGTCTTTTGAAATATTTTTATCTACTACAAATCTATTTTTATAGTGTGAAAGTCCTTTTGTTTAAAGCTAATTTTAAACTGGATTTTAAAATCTGCAGTTCCTTTCTATTATCTCATCCAGTGAGTAAGATTTATGTTACATTATTGCAGAAAAGTTGTGTGTTCTTTGCCAAAAGTTATACAGGCTCAGAGCTCTGCTGTCTTTATTCTAAACACTTGTGAGATAAAGGAAGGCGTTTATTGGTCAGGGAATCCCAAAAAGCCCATTCAGTGGCCCGACCTGGCCTCTGGCTACGCTTCCAGCCTCCTGTCCTGCCAGACTGCCAAGACCCCACTTGTAGTTCCGACTCCAGCAGGAAAGGCTGGCTGAGTCCAAAGTGACGGTGCAGGTAACCAAGGACATCTGTTAGCAGGAAGCAAAGTGGATCTGTTCCTGCTCTGGCACACAGCTGTTTGCATTTCCAAAAATTCATAAGCAGAAGAGCTTTTGTAGTTGAAATTCCTAAGATGTTATTTGCCGTGCCAAACCTCCCTTCTGCTCCGTGGCATGTGGCATTGTGGCATTGTGACTACGTGACTACTCTCGTTCCTCGCAGTTCAGCTGCTTAAGTCACCTCCTTAAGTTAGCTGCTTTCCATGCTGTGTTTTTCTCCCCCTTAGATGTGTGTCTCTGCATATCCCACCGTATTCTTGTTTGTACTGTTTCTTCTAATATAGATGTTGAATGGCATGTCTTTTAGTCAAGAATATCTAGCACTTTACCCTGTGAGTGCAGGTAGTAATGCAGTCATTACAAGTTTGCCAAATGAATGCATGGAAGTAGATGGCTGATTGGTTATGGTTTCTGTTGATTAAAAAAAAAAGTTGTTTGAAACATTTATTATGTGTTTTGTTCTCATCCACAAGAATAATTGGAGCTTTAGGCAGACAGATATTCAAGATGAATCTGAAGCTTCTGTAGTCCAGAGAGTCCCTCATCCAAACCCTCCCGTACGTAGCACTGAGAAGCTTCCAAGTAATTAAACTTTGGAAAAGGATGAGCTCTAAATTAACTGAGTCTGAGCAAAGCACATCCAGGTTGAGTAGTCCATGATAATTTTAACCCCAGAGTATTAGTTGTCATAGCAAATTTATAAAAAATGTAGAAATTTACTCAAAAAGAACATTAAATAAATGTTACATTTTACGAGACTAAACATTCTCTGTTTCTCTATATCCCAAATTTAAATTGCTCAGGTTTTTCTCACTCAGTATTGGTTACTGTAAGAGCTGCCATCTGTTCTTCCAGGCTGGGTGGATGAACATATGGGAATCATGTTTTCTTTTTTAAAAAATTAAACAACTTTCATTCGGAGATTATTCCTAGATTCCACATGAGTCTTAATATATTGTCACCTACTCTGATTTCAGAAATCTCCTTCCTATTCTAAATCCTCTAACTTGGTTGTTGAGATGGTAAGATTACTAAACCCATTAAGAATTATTTTTACATTATTTTTGGTATTCACAGTTTGTTGTTTGGCCATAGGTACAAATGAGAGATCAAGAAATTGCTAGCACAGCCAAAGACCTCGAAATGAGACAGCTGGAACTCGAATCACAAAGAAGACTTTATGAGAAGGTATAAATCAGTTAATTTCCAATATAAGAGGAGCAGTTTGTATAAACCCTGTTTGGACTGTATTTACTCAGAGTTTCCCGACGTTCCCGTTCTTTGCTTCTAAGCAGAATGTGAATGTCATGCAGGATTGTAAGGTAGCCAAGATGTCTGAATGTACAGTTTGTTGTAATTCTTCAATTCGTGTTTCTGTTTGCAGCTTAGTTAAGTTTGCGAAGCACCAGATGTAAACCCCAGATTTTGCCTCAGGATCTTCTACCGACTCACTGAGTTTTCCTGTATGTCCGTAACAGGGACTGCAAAATTATCCCAGTACTTCACAAGACTCCTGTAAGGTAGATCAGACGAGAGCTAAAGTACTTTAAACTTGAGGCTTCTACAATCAAATCAGTAAACATCTACTTAGTACAGGCAATTCAGTTTTCAGACACTGGAAAAAGCAGCCGTGTTTATATAAATTTTTATTATTGATAAAATAATTTGTTACTTATTTATTTTGTGTTGAAAACATAAGTTTTTACTTCTTTCAGCTTCTTAAAGCCAGACTTTGGGCTGGATATTAGTTATAACTGTGAATTCATAACAGGTAACATACATATGGTTGTTAGCCACATTAAGTAAGATAAATATATTGTGCCCATTTGTATCTTATAACCCCCTTTTTTTTAACATACTGAATTTCTTCTAAAAACTAAACAAGGAAATTACATTTTGGGTAGGTCCCCTGTTTTGATTTGGATGTAGTTCATTTGGAGCATGCTCAAGGTTAGTTTTTACTTTATTTTCATGAGGAGATGGCACTAAGGAAACCACTAATTTCCATATTAATAGAAAATTTACAATAAAGATTTTCAAATATTTTTCTCTCAGATTCTCAACTGTTAACATTTTGCCAAATTTGCTCTCCCTTTCTCTATTTTTTTTTTTTTTTTAATTTATTTTATTTGAAAGGCATGGTGGGGAGAGAGAGAGAGAGGTCTTCCATCCGCTGGTTCACTTCCCAGATAGCTGCAATGGCCGGAGCTGCGCCCATCTGAAGCCAGGAGCCAGGAACTTCTTTCGGATTTCCCACATGGGTGCAGGGGCCCAAGGACTTGGGCCATCTTCCACTGCTTTCCCATGCCATGGCAGAGAGCTGGGTCAGAAGTGGAGAAGCTGGGACTCAAACTGGCTCCCATATGGGATGCCGGTGCTGCAGACCAGGGCTTTAACCCACTGCACCACAGCGCCAGCCCTTCCCTTTCTCTACACACACATACACACACACACACACACAGACACTTTTTTCCTGAACTGTTTAAGTTGTAGGCTTACTCTCTAAATATTCCAGTGTTAAGTTTTCTAAAGCCAATAGATCTTCCTACAAAACTACAGTATAATTATTGAAGTCAGAAAATTAGCATAATATCTAATAGTTAGATTTGATCAGTTGTCCCAAAAATGTCCATCTAAGATCATCCAATTTTTTATGTCTTTTTAAAATTGGAACCTTTCCTGCGTCTTCGTCCTATTCGTGCATTGAGAGTTGCGGAAGCTGTAGCAAATACTGTAGACTGCCTTCAGCTAGCATTTGTTTCTTCATGATGAGATTCAAGCTATATACTTTAGGTAGGAATGGCAGTAGTGATGTTGAATTTCTTTCTGTGTCTCAGAAACGTTTACTAGTCCCTTTTGGCTGTCCTTTTTTAAAAAAAAAAAAAAATTATTCCATTTACTTGAAAGGCAGAGTTACAGAGAGAGGTCTTGGGCCATCTTCCACTGCTTTCCCAGGCCATAAGCAGGGAGCTGGATCAGAGGTGGAGCAGCCAGGACTTGAACCAGTGATTATAGGGGATGCCGGTACTGCAGATGGCAGCATAACCTGCTGTACCACAATGCCTGCTTGTTTGGGTGTCTTTTGAAAGAAGTCAAACCTCGTATTAAAGAGTTGAACTACTCAACAAAACTAACTTAAGAAACCATGACCTGATTAAGTACAGGCAAAATGCTGAATTAATCTTTCAGATTGGCTTTAGTGATCAACACTTTACCTGCCAACCTTATCTCCTACATTAGATTAATTCAGTGTCTATTTCTTTTTTTTTTTTTTTAAAGATTTATTTATTTATTTGAAAGAGTTACACAGAGATAGAAGGAGAGGCAGAGAGAGAGAGAGAGAGAGGTCTTCCATCCACTGGTTCACTCCCCAATTGTCCGCAATGGCCAGAGCTGCGCCGATCCGAAGCCAGGAGCCAGGAGCTTCTTTCAGGTCTTCCATGTGGGTGCAGGGTCCCAAGACCTTGGGCCATCTTCTACTGCTTTCCCAGGCCATAGCAGAGAGCTGGATCGAAAGTGGAGCAGCTGGGACTCCAACCTGTGCCCATATGGGATGCTGGCACTGCAGGCAGCGGTTTAACCTGCTGCACCACAGTGCCGGTCCTTCAGTGTCTATTTATAAAGATAACTACAGAAAACAGACAATATTGTGATTACCTCTGTTGAAAATATGCATTCAACACTCCATATATGTCCATATCAAATACAATTTTTAAACAAAAGAATAAAACTAGGCACAGATTAAAAATAACAACAACAACGGAATGAATAACCGTAGTCCAGATCCCTTCCCTTCTTCGTCTTCCAGGGCCTTGTTTCACCGTCTGTTTTCTGGCGGGTGTCTCTCACACATCCACACCCTCCACTTGGTATAATACTGGCCTTGCAGAATCGCTGTGAGGGTGGAATGACCGCTCTGGCTAGGACTCCCAGAACTCAAGGAAAACCCTTACACTCCCAGTTACGGGCATTACTGTAGAGGATACAGCTTAAAATCAGCAAAGGTAAAAGGCACATCAGGGAGAGACCAGGCCGCAGCTTCCAGCTGTCCTGTCCTGGCGGAGTTGTGCAGGTATGGCTGTAACGTTCCCTGCGAAGCTGTGTGATAGTACAGAGCATCACGCACCAGCCAGGCTCCTTCAGGCCTTAGTGGGCAGGGTTCTACTGGGTTATGCAGGCACGGAGTACACACTTGGCTGCCCTTCGCCGCTTTCTCTCCTCTCAAATATCAGATCAAACTGATAGAGCCTGGGCCGTGGCTCCCAGCTTAGTAAGCGGCATGGCCACAGGCAAGGCATCCCAAGGGCTTAGAGGTTGTTTCCCCAGAGCTGGTCAAGGGTCGGTCAGTCTTCTTTTTGGAATATGTAGGGTTTGAAGAATTCAGGCCTACTGAGTTTTGTCGGGTACATAGTATGTGCTGGATAGATATTAGTTTCTTCCCTCCCCCTTAGCCTAAAGAGTTTTATTATTTTTAAAAAATGATTAACAAGCCGGCGCCATGGCTCACTAGGCTAATCCTCCGCCTTGCGGCACCGGCACACCGGGTTCTAGTCCCGGTCGGGGCGCCGGATTCTGTCCCGGTTGCCCCTCTTCCAGGCCAGCCCTCTGCTATGGCCAGGGAGTGCAGTGGAGGATGGCCCAGGTGCTTGGGCCCTGCACCCCATGGGAGACCAGGAAAAGCACCTGGATCCTGGCTCCTGCCAGGATCAGCGCGGTGCGCCAGCTGCAGCGGCGGCCATTGGAGGGTGAACCAGCGGCAAAAGGAAGACCTTTCTCTCTGTCTCTCTCTCTCACTGTCCACTCTGCCTGTCAAAAAAAAAAAAAAAAATGATTAACAACTTCCTTCACCCATGTGTTCTTCATACCACCCTCTTATCTTTACTTCTCTTCACCATTTTTAGATTTCTGTTGCTTCTTCCTGATCCTCAATCTCCATAGAAACCTGATTTTATCTCTTAATGGAGTACCGAAAATTCCATGCTTGCTGCTTTTCTTTTCTGCGTAATAAAATTATTTCTCCAAACGGCTGCATATCTTTGTAGTTGTCATTTTTAGTGACTGTTGATGAACCATAACTTATTTAAACTTTTTCCTGTTTGATATTTGTTTTATAGTTTTTGGCATTAAAAATCATGCATAAAACTCTTCTGCATTTAATTGAAAATATTTTTACTTTCAGCTAATTAACAAAGATAATTATGCCACCTGTAAATAATTAGAAAAGTTTTTTAAAACCCCTCTATCAAAAAGTCTCAGTTGCTGATTTTGCTAACGGCAATAAGTGAGATTATTTGGTACATACAATTTGTATTTTCCTTTTTTAAGTTAAATCTTCATGAAGATGGTTTGCTGTCCTTCCCCCAACCATTGTACCCTAGCAATCACTAATCTACTGCCTGTCTCTGTGGATTTACCTGTTTGGACATTGCATATGAATGGAGTCTTACAATGTGTGGTCTTTTCACGATTGGTTTCTCTCACTTGGCATATTTTCAGGTTCATTCATGTTGTGGCATGAGTCAGTATTTCACTCCTTTGATGTGGTTGACGAGTCCATTTGTATGAATAGGCCACATTTTGTTTTTATACTTCTCATTGGGTGGACATTGGATGGTTTCCACTTTTTTGCTATGATGAGTATTGCTGCTATGAACATTCATCTACAACTTCTCGTGTGGACATTGTTTTAAGTTCTCTTGGATACATACCCAGGAGTAGAGAGTTCCCGTTTTTCCACATTCTCATAAACGTATTGCCTGTTCTTTTGATTACAGCCATATTAGTGGATGTGGAATAGGATCTTACTGTGGTTTTGATTTAATATTTCTCTAATGACTATGTTAAGAGTTTTTTATATTTTTATTGGCCTTTTTATATTTTCTTTGCAAATAATGTGTTTAATGTCTACTCAAAGTATGTATGGGTCATTCTTTCAAACTTAAACTGTCATGTAATTTTTTGTTGAAAATTAGAAATTTTAATAATATGGCAGTTCTGGGATCGGATTCCTCCGCTGCTACTTCCTTTCTTGTTATTTCTTTGCTTAGTGACTTTCTGAACTAATTCTGCATATTCCTGGACATGTGTGAGCCACTGCAGTCTCTTCTCCGCTTAGGAGTTAGCTAATCACCGGACAGAGATTTCCTGATCAGATACTTTGAACCAGAGAGCTCCTAGTGTTTGCTGAGGGACTCTGCACACACCCAGCGAGGCAGTTTTTACAGCTCTAACATAGATTTCACTTCCTGTACAATGCCTGGAAGTTAACCCGACGTGGGAGCTTAGACTCTCCCAAGATGTGAGTACATGGTCATTGGCAAGTGCGTACCCTTCCTTACACACATGGAGGAGCTCTGCAAAGCCTCCTGTGGACATGGGATTCCTCGGATTTTCTTATTCAGTTTATGTTAGCCTATCATTTGTTCTACCCATCATCCACAGGCTCAGGTAGTTAAGGTGTTGAACAGTTTCTCCTAATGACTTCCAGCAGTCATCCCAGGGAAAAGGCTGGTT